CCAGAAGACTGGAAAAAGGCAAATCTAGTGCCCATCTGTAAAAAGGGAAATAAGAACAACCCAGGAAACTACAGACCAGTCAGTTTAACTACTGTACCGGGAAAGATAATGGAGCAAGTAATTGAGGAATTCATCTGCAAATATCTGGAAGAAAATAAGGTGATAGGTAACAGCCAGCATGGCTTTATAAAGAACAAATCATGTCAAACCAATCTGATAGCTTTCTTTGATAGGCTAATAAGCCTTGTGGGTAAGGGAGAAGATGTAGTATACCTAGATTTTAGTAAGGCATCTGATATGATCTCGCATAATCTTCTTATCAATAAACTAGGCAAATACAACTTCGATGGGGATACTATAAGGTGGGTCCATAACTGGCTGGATAACTGTACTCAGAGGCCGTGTCCAGACTCAGGGGTTTTTTCGGGAAAAGTAGCCTTTTCCCGAAAAAACTTCCCCTGCGTCCAGACTCAAGCCGCGTTCTTTCGAAATTATTTCGAAAGAACGCGGCTTTTCTTTCGATGGCGGTAAACCTCAATTTACGAGGAAGAACGCCTTCTTTCGAAAGTTCCTCTTTCGAAAGAAGGCGTTCTTCAATGTAAAGAGGCCATCTTCGAAAGAGAGCATCCAGACTCGCTGGGTGCTCTCTTTCGAAAAAGCGGATTTCTCTTTCGAAAGATCCGCCTGCAGTCTAGACGCGATCTTTCGAAAGAGGCTCTTTCGAAAGAAGCCTGCAGTCTAGACATAGCCAGAGAGTAGTTATTAATGGTTCACAGTCCTGCTGGAAGGGCATAACGTGGAATTCCGCAGGGGTCTGTTTTGGGACCAGTTCTGTTCAATATATTCATCAATTATTTAGATAATAGCATAGAGAATATAGATTTATAAAGTTTGCAGATGATACCAAGCTGGAAGGGATTGCAGCTCCTTTGGAGGATAGGGTCATAATTCAAAATGATCTGGATAAATGGTCTGAGGTAAATAGGATAAAGTTTAATAAGGACAAATGCAAAGTACTCCATTTAGGAAGAAACAATCTGTTTCACATATAGAGAATGGGAAGCGACTGTCTAGGAAGGGGTACTGCAGAAAGGGATCTAGAGAACATAGTGGACTACAAGCTAACTATGAGTCAACAGTGTGACACTGTTGCAAAAAAACCAAACATGATTCTGGGATGCAGTAACAGGAGTGTTGTGAGCAAGGCAGGAGAAGTCATTCTTCTGCTCTACTCTGAACTGATTAGGTCTCAACTGGAGTATTGTGTCCAGTTCTGGGCACCACATTTGAAGAAAGATGTGGAGAAATTGGAGAAGGTCCAGAGAAGAGCAACAAGAATGATTAAAGGTCTAGAGAACATGAGCTATTTAGTTTGGAAAGGAGAAGACTGAGAGGAGACATGATAGCGGTTTTCAGGTATCTGAAAGGGTCTCACAAGGAGGAGGGAGACAAATTGTTCTCCTTGGCCTCTGAGGATAGGACAGAAAGCAAAGGGCTTAAACTGCACAGCAAGGGAGGTTTTGGTTGGGCATTAGGAAACACTTCCTGTCGGTGATTAAGCACTGGAATAAATTGCCTAGGGAGGTTGTGGAATCTCCATCGCTGGAGACATTTAAGAGCAAGTTAGACATCTGTCAGAGATGATCTAGACGGTGCTTGATCCTGCCGTGAGGGCAGGGGACTGGACTCGATGACCTCTCAAGGTCCCTTCCAGTTCTAGTATTCTATGATTCTATGAGTCTTTCTGTTGAGATTTATTAGTCATTCCAGTTATGTTTCTTGGGTGAAGGGTACAGAAGCTAGTTTAATCCCGTTGCTGGAATAGCAAACATAGTAGTTTCACTGCTCTGAAGAGGGGAGGCGATCTTTCACCCAAGGAACCTTGACTGCTTAAACTGTGTTAAGTGATCCGTCTTCCAGCTGATTCAGGAAGACAACATTGCATTGGTTGTGTTTGGGAAGGTGCTTTTTCAAAAGTTAAAGAATCGTAAAAGTCTGAGAGCAGACTGCAAGCCATGCCAAGTGTTAGCATATTTAGGACACGGTTCTACCTTATTTGAATTAGGTGAGATGGAGCCAGGGAATGGGAAATCACAGACCATGTCTGAAAAAAGTAATACCCATTTGAAGATTTTTCTGGGGACTCACCTATAGTTTGATCCCTGTGGGAGGTGCCTGCCAAAGTTCATGGCTTCAGTCTTGCTGCTGCTGAAATCCCAAGACCCCTTTTCCTGTTGGGCAGAAGCCCCTACCTCATCAGCCCATTTGCAAGACAGAGGTCCGAAACTCTGTGTGTGTGTGTGTGTGTGTGTGTGTGTGTGTGTGTGTGTGTTAAAATTAAAAACAATCCTCTTTGTGCCTTCTCTGAAGAACTCAGAATTAAGGCGAGAGTTAGAAGAAACTGAAAGATTTGGAGGTATCCACATTCATAATTACATTTACTGAACTACCTTTATTCGACTGTGAAAAGCAGGGTGGATTGGTTTAAATCAAATTTATTTAAATTACTATTTAAATCACTAGTCAGGAAGACTTGATTTAATCATGGTTTTCTACATAAAAGTGCATTCTTGTTGGTTGTAATACAGTAACCTTAATGTGTATTCTTCATGACTCGGATGTAAGTTTCATTTTTAGAAGGTACACACTATGCATTTCTAAACAGTGATTTATTTTGAAAACTTTTCAGATTAGTTTTACAACTATATCAGAAAGCAAATTATTGTTTGGTTATTTTGTTTTCCAAAGGCAATTGAAGAAGATATTTATGAAGTTATTGACAGGTGAACTATTTCCAATTCAACAGGGTAATCATTAATATTTGGAGGATTTTCTTGCCATGCTGTATTAGGGGGAGAATATCATTATCATAAATTGACATTTACATTGTTTAACTACAACAATAATATTATGTATTTTGGATTTTTTTCTTCAACTGCATAGTATTTTAACAAAACAAGCAAGTGATTTTTTGAGCTTAGTTAAACAAAGTTTTTGTTAAATTGTTTTTAAATAGTTAAATGAAATACTGTATTAAAAAAACAAAATTAAATTGACTATGTCAGCTAGGTCAACATGCGAAACTTAAAAGATTGGCTTCTGCAGCTAACTCAGTCATCTTCACCTTAATTTTCCTGTTTGTTCATAATCTGGAAAAGAAAAACAAGCTTTCCTGCTTTTTCAGGTCCCAAACAATTTTTCAATTTGGAATGAATTAGTCCAAAGGAAGAAAATAGTCTTTCTACACTGGCAGAAGAAGCTGCTGCTGTTAAAAGTGAAATTATCACTTCAGCAGCCTCTGAATCTAAGCGCTTAAGTGACTTCCACCATTTCACTGGTGTGACTTTCTTTAGAACATCATCAGCAAACATACATTTCTGGAATGATTCACACTTAGCTCTGAAGTTTATTATAATTGACATTATGGAGGGATGATTGCTGGATGCCCATTTTTTAGCCAACTCCTCTCCTTTAGCAGTTAACGTTTGACCCTGGTACTGAGTGTTGAAAATATTTGCAAGCAAATGAGCTGGAGATAGTGCTTGTCCCATTCGTTGTTTTAATGGTTGTAATTTAACTCTTATCAAATATTTCTCTCTTAAAGATCTCTGTTCCTTCCAAATTTCAGCAGCATCAGCAATAAAACAGCTATTTCCCTGCATTTTGTTCAAGGCTACAGAAATAGACTTCAGGGTACTCAGCGCATGTGCAACATTTCTCTTACATCCCATATTGAGAACTTGGGTTGTGACAGTGCCATCTATTTTTTTATGATTTTGTTCACAAACTGTCATCTGATTAGGCCAGTTCTTGATATAGTGCTCAAACCAGTCCACTACTGAGTTCCATTGCACGTCTTGTGCCAGCTTGGTTCCTCTGACTTTTTTTCAGAGCAGCTGCTGCAAAGTGGTCATTATGGAAGTATTTTGCAATTTCAAACTTAGCCATTATTTCTGGAACAGTGGAGTCTTTGGCTAGGAGGTGCTTCAAATGAACGCTGCAGCTGTATGTTATTAGCATGGGACTCTTTTCTAAATTTCTTCTCATCTTATGTACATTTGCAGCATTGCTTTTGACCAACCTGTGTGCAAAATATTTGATTTTTTTCTCAGTTTGTTATAGCTTTTACTGTTACTTCTTGTAAGTATTCTGCTGTGTGTGTGCATTTTCTGATGTATCATTTCTGCAAGGAAGACGTTCCCTTCTCTGTTGTCACACAATCACATACAACAGGATCATTGTGGACGTTGCTCCACCCATCAAGACTCAGGTTCAAAATTTTACCCTCTAGACTTCTTGCACACTGCTCAATTTCTTTCATACACTTTACCCAGCAATTTACCTGTGACATCTGCTCTGTTGGTTGGACTGTATCCTGGCTTTAATGACTGAACCATGTTAATGAAGTATGCATTTTCTACCAGATGGAGAGTTTGTTGCATAAACAAATCAGACAATTTTTCATCAATTATCTCTTTTTGTAATCTGCTGGTTCTTACAACAAACTTATTTATGGTTGTTTCTGGATGATGGAGCTTTTTTCCCCTCTTTTTGCTGCAGGTGATATACTGTAACTGTGACTGAAACCTTATTGGGACATCACTCTGAAACTATAGAAAATGATGGTGATCTTGAAGGTGTATAATCTTCAGAATCCTGTATGTTGAGGATGAATTTTCTAAACAAAATAAGTCAATGCAATTACAGTGAAACCTTTGTTATCCGGCACTCTGTTAACCATAAAACTTTAACTGGCATTGCCCCCAGCCACAATACTGTCATATCTTCAGGCGCACAGGCCTGGCTTGGTTTACCATGATTGGCTTAACACTTTTTTATTTAAGAAGTACTAATCATCTTTAACTTAAAATAGAAATGTGAGACCAACTGCCTCACATTACAAAACTACCAATATTAAAAACTTGAGTTTTACTATTATTGTCCATTGGTTTTTCCTAGGTTGATGGGACCCTCAGATAACTGGAAGGCCCTAATTCCTGAGCGTGCCGGATAACACAGGTTTTACTGTATTTAATTACTATTACCATTCTGCTCATTTAATATTACTCACTGCATTCACTGACACAGTACTATTTCAAAGGTGAAATTGTAAAAGGAAGATCTGCCTATTTCAGCTATTTTTTTAATCACAAATGCATAAAAAATGATAGTACCATAGAGTAACAACTATATTTGTATTAAAAAATGAGAATTCAAGAATAGTTGAGAAGTAAGATAGGCAGTCCTTAAGAAAAAAGTTTACCAACTGGAAGATCCTGCATGTTCACACATGTTCCTTTCATCATGCAGCTTTCTCCTAAAAAGGGAACACTTCTCATGATGTGGTTTCATGTGGACAACTAGGCTTTGCATTTCTTTGTTGCAGTGTTTGCATTTTGCTCACATGACTGTCTTACTCACAGGTAGAGGAACTTCATGAAAATATTCCCAAACTGGGTCTCTTTTATGGCCTGCTGCCGTTATAGATTTTCCCTTCTAGTGAAAGAATAGTATGGTAGATCTCAAATCAATGAAAGCTACACTTTAGAAAGACCTGAAGACTTCTGGAGTATGCTGCTCAGTTTCACTTTTGTTTCTACTGCTTGTCCCTCCCTTTTCACATTTACCTTTGGACTTCTTCTCCTTGTGTTGATCTATTCTGCCCCCAACAATCTTCTATTCATTGAACTTTTTGAAACTTTTCACTTTTAGAGAGAATTAAAGGATTGACTCTTTGTATGCAAATTTGCAAAGGGATAGTAGGATTGAGGTCTTCTATTTCTCACCTTTTTATTTAAAATCATTTTGCTGTCAACAAGCATGTTATCTCTGGAGTCACAAATCCACAGTTTGAGAACTGCAAAACAAAGCATCCCTGACGGTATCTTTTAGACTGAGCACTGTGTCCCATTGGGAAGATAGACTGTTTAGGTTAATATTTCTATACAGAAGCCTTTGGAACCCCATAAGACTGAGCTCCCTCATCCGTCAACTGTTGGGTCTCATTTACAAAACTTTTCCGATAAATTACATGAATATAGTGATTCAAACTATAGAACTAGAATTTATAATCCCTATTCCATGATGAGATACCTTTGAGCTATAATGTGTCTTAATTTAAACTATCTTTAGATTGGATTTTTTTTTTTTTGCTAAAATGCTTTTTGAGGAAAATCTGATTTTAAAAAATTCTTTAAAAATAATTGATTTTTTTTTAATCCACCCTGCTGGAGAGATGCCTTTCCTTTTTTGCATGTAGAGTCTTGAAAATGTGCACCACAAGCATTGATATATTTTTTCCAATGAACACATTTCTGACATCAAAGTCTGATGCTTTTTCCATGCATTAGTCTTTTTTTCTTCTCAGGTAAGTAAGGCTATTAGGAGTTTTGTTCATAGTGGGGAGACAGCAAGAATGTATTGGAGAGTTGCATGGCTGGTGGGCACATGGAATTATAAGGTGTGCAGAAAGTGAATATAGTAGGCTGTGAGGAGGTTATTTCATTTCTCCTGTCAGAAAGGTGAATCTAATAAAAAAATTAATACATTTTCCATCTTCCATGCAAACAAATGTCTCTTAGGAAGTATTTTCTATCTGAGATGACTACTACTTTTTAAAATATCTTAGGTTGCAAACAACTTATCTGACTCACTTCACTTTTGGTGGAATAAATCTCCTTTCTCAAAGGATAAATTTACCTAGTGATCAGTTTACATGTTCACATCTATCTCTGCATGGAAAAGGTCAATCTATTTTAAGATCATAAGAGCTGATATGCCTTTCTGAAACTACTATTAAAATTGTTGCCAACTTTCAAAATGAATTTAATTGCCTAATCTCTAGTCATATACATTAGATGACAACCATATTGTTTACTGGATCCATCTTATATTTTTAAATCTATCTCTCCCACTTTTGCTACGAAGTGGGAGAAAAAAGTTAGAAAACTATTTGAACATTGGGGAACACCTGTTTTGCATATGTAATAATTTTGGAACACTCTTTTTAATTCACTTCTCATTTGATAAAAATTCTTCCTTAGCTCAGTCTCATCTGTCAGCTATGAGGCAGATTTTCCATTGTTTGCAGAATTTTTTGGGAAGAAGGGGTAGTCCAACACTGGGCTTAAAATGGAAATTCAGATACACAGCTAATTACTGAAATGTCTACTGCCACTCCATAAGTCTTTGAACAGCCATGATACACCAACATTATTTTACTTCCTCTGGTAACCCTATTTAAACATTTATTTGAGCTCTACTCAACTTCTTTTTAGTGCTTCTCAAAAAGTGTCTGCAGTATTTAAATCGCCGCTTCATTTTCCTATGTCTGGTAGCCTAATCTACATGCCTCTGGCAACAGAGGTATGTAGTCTAGACGTACCCAAAGACTCTTTGTATCTTGTACAAAGACTATTATTGTAGTATGTTAGGTGTGAATTTAGAGGTATATTCCAATACAAGAGGGCTTTTAGTTCCATAGATTTAAAAAAAACAACTTTTCTACTTCACACATCTTCATGGAAGTCATCCCATTTCAAGTTTCTCAGAATATCTACAGTCAAAATAATGGAATAGTGTGCTCTCTTGTTACAGCCACAGAATTCTGTTGTAATAAATACTTTAGTTGTTAAAATCATTGTCATCAAGTTGGTGGCTTAGCTATGAAAAGTAAGTATTCTTCTTGAATAGGTATGATGAACTGTTTGTTTGCAGGAAATTCATGAAGCCTTTTGATATTAGGTAACCGTTTATTAACTATTACAGACTATGAAACTTCTTTAAAATTCATAAAGAAATGATCCAAAAAGCAGCAAGAACTGAGTTCTTTCTAGAGTGTCAACAGCAAGATTTATCTTTGAGTTTTAACTTTTCTACTATAAACATGGAAGCAACATTGGTGAGCCATGTACTGAGGTCACAGGCACCGGCTTCCAACTTTCCCCAGGGTGCTCAAGTTGTGCTCTTCCCTAGCCCCTGCCTTCACTCCATCCCTTTCCCAAAGTCCTCTACCCTTGCCATTCCTCTTCCTACCTGTTGTTTTTCTTCTCCCAAGTGTGCCATGTCCCAACTCCTCCTCCCTCCCAATACCTCCTGCATGTTGCAGAACAGCTGATCTGCAGCGTGTGGTTGGTGCTGGGAGGGAGCTGAAGGAATTGATCAGCAAGGCTTCTGGAAGGCAGGAGCTTCTGTGTGGGGTGGGAGGAAGGGAGCTTGGCTGCCCTGGGTGATAAGCTCCCACTAATTTTTTCTGTAGATGTTCTAGCTCTGGAGCACCTATGGAGTTGGCATCTGTGATTGAGGCAGATAGTCTGCCACCCAAGTTTAAATATTTATATTCTAGATAATATAACCATAGGTGTGTGTTAGGCTCCAAAGGCTAATTCCCAGGCTGAAGTTCAATTTGGAAATCTAGTCAGTATAAAAAATGAATTAAAAGTAATTCAGGGTGTGGTATCTGTTTCTGAGTCTTTTTGTCATCACAGTCATATTTTCCTACTTTTAAAATGTTTTTCTTCACTCACACACAAAACTGATTATCCCTAAATGGGTGTCAGTAAAATTGAGTATACCCAAACTAAACAACTGAAAATAGATATGTATTCCTATGCATGTAATATACTTTTTCTAATGTATTTATTCTATTAATTTTACAGGTTATTAGTCACAATAATTCAGTTATACTTTTTAGGCAGAACTGTGACTTAATAATAGTCATTCCTTTAAATGCTTCCTGCGGCTCCTCTTGGCTGTAAATGGCAAACTGGAGCCAATGGGAGCTGCAAGGCTCCGTGGCTATGGAGCCTTTAGATAAACAAACCAGAGTAACCTGTTCGCAGCTTTCTCAAAGTAGGCTCCGGCCCACTCTGGGGGAAGTCTAGGTTGGATATTAGTAAAAACTATTTTACTAGGAGGGTGGTGAAGCACTGAAATGGATTACATAGGGAGGTGGTGGAATCTCCATCCCTAGAGGTTTTTAAGTCCCGGCTTGGCAAAGCCCTGGCTGGGATGATTTAGTTAGGGCTGGCCCTGCTTTGGGCAAGGGGCTGGACTCGATGACCTCCTGATGTCTCTTCCAGCCTTGGGATTCTGTGATTCTAGAGACAAGAGGAGGTAGTTGAGAAATTAACAGATTTATTTTTGTATGTCTTTGTATATACACATGCAAGGAGACAGAGCAAGGCCATTTACTTGAAGTGCCCAGAACCATTCTGAAGCAAGGGCTGGTAGTTACTTGGTAATTCAGTGTTCTTTGTGAGCTGGAAAGTACATTTCCATGTGGGTGGAGTCGTGAATATTAATAAATGGAAAACTGAGCCAGTCAGAGCTCAGGGAGGGCGAAGCCATAAAATCGGCGCATGAAACTACTTATGTGGGTTCAGAGGATGATCCTGACGAAAGATATGATGGTGCCTCATAGAGTCAGGGGCTGGATGGCAATACCTGTGGTGACTTTTCCAGTCTCTTGAAACTAGTAGCTCAGTCCCTCGGTCCTCCACAGGAACGAATCCTTAATACAGTTTGGGACTTACATGCTATATTTATAAAGCTTGACCTGGATGTTCCCCTTGATACTTTTTTTTTTAAGAGAAAAGTAGCATCTAGATCAAAATTTTTGATAGACTCATGGATTCAGCATACTTTTAAAATATTTTGAGATTATGTTTAGACCTTAATTTATTGAATTCAGATTTCATTTTAACCATGTTTATGTTTAAAAAAAAATGTAATTAAATAAAATTTTAAAAGTCATCCATTTTCATGTACTCTGGCAAGCAGAAAAGCTTGATTTAAATAATGTATTTTAATGTGTTTTACATTTGAAATTTTCTTTAAGAAAATAACAAATTTAATTTCATTTTTGGTAACCATTAAAACATGTTGATTTTCAAGTAGATAAAGTCTTTATACTAAATTTGATGCTACATTTTGGTAAATAGGAGGACACACTATATCTACATACATTGCATGTTAAGCTGTATGATTGTTTAAGTTGATTCACATCCATTTTTATTTTT